TCAAAAATGGCCTCTGTTCAGTCTGGAGAGCTCTAAGTTAAAATACCTCTCCCAAAAATAAGTTTTTTCTTCAAAAACTAATCTCTAAATTAATTTTAGGATCAATTTAAAATTCCCGAATACTAGTTAGCAATGCCAAGGCACTCTTCAAATCGCCGCACTTCTTTCTTCTTTGCTCTCTCTCCATCCTTCCTTTCTTTCTTCTTCTATTCTTTCTCCCTGACTTTGTCTGGTATCTGGGCGATAAGATCTGACAGATCTACTGACTAACAATACTTTAACCAAGAGCAAAGGTCCCGCGGACCGCTCTGACAGACAGCGATGAATAGAAAAAGTTTTAATCTCTGTCAAAATGTGAATTTTAATGTTTTGACCACTACCATTTTCTTGCTACTCCTTTCTTTAGAAAGCAGCAGGCCCCAAAATATATGGGGTTGATCTAGGAGGTCAAAAACGACCTCCAAATTCTTTCATTCACGATGTGACAATTCGTTCAGCAGATATTCCAGTCAAAAGTGGTTTGACAATTCGAATGCTTCCCAAAACGACAAAAGCACAATATTATTTTTTTTTCATACGATGCACCAGCCTATATAAATTTTGTACCCGCGCCTAATTGTTGGGATAGATATTTGGATCCAATTTTATATATTTTGACCCACAACTGGCCATTTTCATGATATTGGAGGTCTCATATCGGGCTCAAGTTTATTTTCTGAGAACAGCCTATGAAAATACTTTGTAAGAGCTCAAACAGTTCGCTTTGAAGACGTGTTCACAGTGTCGATGTTCGGAAAGAAATGTGAATCTCACCCTTTTTGGCAACATTTCCATTTTATAGCTACTCCTGTCATTGGAAAGCATTTGTCCACATATATGTAACTATTCCAAGGGATTTTGTCCATGTAATTCAAAAATGGCCCTCAAATTGCGATCTGATAACTCGTTCGGCAGATATTTGAGTCAAAAGAGTTTTTTTCGAAATTTTTCTTTATTTTCTTGGGCTGAAAATTCGAGTGCCTTCCGACACAAAACATTTATAATATTTCCTGTTTTCGCAAAGAAGCAATATCAACCTTCCGCTGTATATGAGTTGAATTGTTCTGCCTAAAATTTACCATGTTCATCATGTTGGAGGTATATGGATGTTATTGGAGATAATGCTAAATGGTAAGAGCTAAAATGTTGGTTGAATGAGCAAAAGTTGAGTGCTATAAGTACTTTTCACACACAGGATCTGGCTGCCATTTTCCGATTTAGAGTAATTTGAAGGAAGGTCCAAGTTTTCAAAGGTACACTTCTTTTCCAATTAGCTTAAACTCAAAAGGCAGCCAAATTTTGTAAACTGCATGTCGAAGGTATTCATACTCCGCACCTTTTTCCCAATTTAAACAATATTGTGGCTATAACTATTTGTTTTTAAAGAATATCTCTTTATCGAGTTAGCCGATGGGCGTTAGGCAATGTGCTGATGTATTTATAAGATCGTCAGCCTCTATAATTAGATCAATCTCTTTCTTTAAGAAACAAGTTTTTTTTAGGAGGTAAGAAAATAATGAATGATTTCGGAAAAAATGAATTTTAACTGAAATATCTTGAAGGCACTTCTAAATTCTTCGGACAATTTTACGACAAGAGTATCGCGGGCACGGAAATGTTGCCAAAAGCGATGGCCTCTCAACATGTTTTCTGCACCTTGAAACTCTTAATGCGCTGGTCCTAGGTATTTGAGAGCTTACAAATGATGATTCTCACATAGGTTCTTTGTAGAAGACAAAATCTAGCCCGAAATGAGTCATGGCCCGCTCTCTAGTATCATAAGAATGGCCATTTTTGGTTCAGGATATCGAAAATTGGATCTAAAGGTCTATCCGGCTAATTTAAAGGCCCCGAGTACAAAATTCTATTTATATAGGGTAATAAACTGCTCTATCCTCCTTTGCGAGAAAAATAATAATTTTGTACATTTTTAGTTTTGGAAGGCATTTGCATTGTTAGCCCAATAAACCTGTAAGACATTTCGAAAAAATCACTTGACTAACATATTATGGGGTCTGATGCTTTCTAATCATATGAGCAGCGAGAACATGGGAAAGCTGCCAAAACGTTGAGAATAACATTTTTTTGCTGAACCTTCAAGACCCTGAAATTTTACAAAGTCCCATGCCTCCGTAGGTAGTCTCTAGAAAAACAAATTGAGTTCGATCTGACATATGACCTGCCAAGGCAGGTCGTGGAATTTTAGTTTTGACCCATTTCCATCGTATAAAAATAACAATAATACAATATTGTATCAGGTCGTATTCTCCACAAATTGATAGTTTTCAAGATATATGGAAATATTGGTTCCTCTGTTGCTTAAATGCTCCTTCGCCATGACAATGAAATCAAGTGTAACTGGACTTTAAGCAAATACATGCGGGCCTATATTCTGAAACGAGGTGTGATGTAGGATAATCTTCTACAAACCTGCATGATATAGCTGACCACAAGTATCTCGCATATGAAGAAAAACAAACCATATAAGAAGAGAAACGTATTGTAGATGACATGTACCATCCGTTTCGTCCTGGTAGATGTCTCAGGTTCTAACCACACCCCAGCTATCTTATTGAAAACATCAATCTTTTTGAAGAAGTCACTGTTACCAGACTTCATTATGGAGAGTGTCTGACATTTCTATTTTCTTGTTGTTTTATATAACCTTCATCATTAGCAATTACCGCTAACTCCTGTATTGATTATTTTATTATATTGTGATGTGCCATTGTGCTGTTTTGTGAGTATGATGCAAAGACGGTAGGTGCTTGTAATTATATGTATGGTTAATTAAAAGGCATTGAGTTGCCTAAGGGGGTGTTTTTGAAGAATGGTTACAGTTTATTGTTTAATACACATACGCAGCAATCAGGACCGGACATGGATTGATCAGGGTTTCATAGTTGAAGACCACTTCTTTAAGAAACTAATTCCAAAAATAGGAAATACAATGATGTATTATGGAGTGGAGCACCAACAATATGTGTCTACAATATATACTGCAGTAACTTTGTGTCAAAATTCCATCAAAATCTAAGCAGCACTATCCAAGTTACGGAGCTGTCAAGAATTAGTGATTAGAGACATGATTTCTCGTGATATACCTACTGTAGCGGCAATTTCGATCAAAATTCCCTAGTTCGGCTGGTCTTTGGAATTTTCGTACTCTCAATCGAGAGCGGATAGCTTGACCCTGATTAGTCGACTTGAACAGCTGACGTAACAGCTTCCGTGTATGGGAATGGGCACCTAGTTCCTTGTTTTCTTTATACTCTCACTCGCGGGGCACCAGGATTTCACCCTGAATTCACAAGGCCAACACATAGTAAGAAGCTAAACCTGGTAATTATCTTTGCTTTGTTGTGCCTAAATTGAGTTCGTGAATCTGTTTATTGGTCAACCAAGCAACCCTATTTGAAGTTGGGCGGCGTGGTCCGCCATCTTCTCAAGGCTTAGTTGCAAAGCAGGGCGTTAGTTTGGCTTTTACCGAGGGCAGTAGCAGCTAGAACATCAAGCAGGTATACAATCCTGCGGGGGACGCAGAAGGTGCCGTAGTTGCAGAAGTGCGAGGGTAACCTACCAGGCCTCCTCGGTATCTCTGAATGCACTCAAGAGTTAAGTTACTCCCTAGAATTTTCTGGCTTCAACATTGTTAATAGTTCAACTTTTAGATTTTATTATTCGTCAAGTACAAAATACAAACATCAAAACATTATCGAAAGGGTAGAAGAACTTTTCAATCCACCGACCTGAATACAGTTGCATGCAAGAATTAACATTTCATAACCTGTAAAGAAATAATAGGTAGTAATACTTCCACAGTATCTCAAAAACAAATTCAATTCAATTTTATCTACTGGAATGCTTGAGCCTTAGTGATGTTAAGAGACTAAGGATCCAGCTACTTACCGTTGAGAAAATCTGTAAAGTTAATGGTGAGAATTTTCGTATGGTCAGACATATAGGTTTGTTCATTCTATACATCATGATCAGTAAACATTGCTTCATTTATTTGCTACTGTCATACATGTCAATTTCCTATAGACAATATAACAATTTCACTGTTACGCAATAATTATTTAAGCATTTCTTACCTACTTTAAGAATTCCGCCATTATTGAGCGAGCACTTTCATAACCAGTGGCGCTTCCAGGATTTCAGTCTGGGAGGGGTAAAATGGAAAGTGAATTCTCAATGTGACGTATAGTGTTATAATGATTTAACATTAAAAGCATTGACATATGCTGACATATGAATTTGTTACAGTAATTTCTGTAGAAAATACATACATCTTTTTTTAATTTTGAATCATACGAAAATCAATGTGTAAATGAAGCAAACCAAGCTCGAGCAATCTTCATATATTAAAACAAAAATCCAAAATAATATAATCTATCACAGACTTTTCTACATAACAATGTCAGACAAAACAAAAAAAAAATACATCTTCAAGAAAAAAATAACAATAACAAATATGTTACGACTTCTATCAGGTATAAAACTGAATGTAAATCAAAATAAAATACTTAATCATGAGAAAAACACAAAAGATATTCATTACATAACTACATTCTCTTAGCCAGTCTCAAAAAACAAAAACATATAAACTATGAAAGTACATCAGTTCACAGCCTCAAAATAGAACAGTCATTACATTAGCTTAGGAAATGATTTGAACAGAATTTGAACAGACTTTTATATCAATCTGCTGGCCAATAAATAAAACCACATATCTTGATTGGATACTTTGGTGAAGATAACCGTGGTGGTTTAAACGAAAGTAAACCCTTAACTACATCTGCTTTTTTATTTATTGGCCGACAGAAGGGAGATGGATTTGAGAGACAACCTTAGGCAAAGTCCAGGTGTTATCATATTACAAAATCAAGGCGCCTATACTTTTTGCTGGCGAACCGATTTATGATTACGTATATTCACGTCTATTTTAGTATCCCTATGCATATACAAAAGAGCTGAACCCACTAATCGCTCTTGTAACATAGTGGAGCACAGCCAAGTTTTTATCCTCTTTAGATGGGAAAAACTTATTTCAGATGTCGCAAGACTTCCCCGCAAGCAATGAAATCAATAGTTGTAGGCATCTATTAATTGAAGGAAAAATGTTTTCATCACATGATAAATACAGTGACATTCCACTGTCTATAATATCTTGTTTACGTGACTTCCAAAGATCAAATTCTGCTTTTAATCTGGTACTTATTAAATTTTTGTTTTCTTTACTATTTAGTCCATGCAAATATTTAGAGATTGTTTCTAATATGTCTATTACTTCAGCTTCAGTTTTTGAATTAACTACTGACGAAAAGAAAATATAAAAATTGTATATATTCAAAGATTCTTCATTGAACCGGTATACCAAATCTTGTAATATGTTATCTAGCAAAGGGACATATAGGTTCAGTCTGTAATGATTTTCCTTGTCAGACGTAACTATGTTCGGTCTGTCAATTTGCCTGCTTGTTATTCTTGGCACAGTCAGTTTAGTACCCAGGGTTTCATGTGATTTCATTATACATGCGTTTTTCGGAATTTGCGCGTCTTGAATTGTGAATTGTTTTTGATTGTAAAATCTTACTCAGGTTGACTGTTAAAGCTAATATATCACACAAACACTTTAGTGATACGATAAATTGGGTGGAAGTAATGGCAGTCTTCAAAGACTCCGCTTTTGAAGAAGCTTCGCGGTCTTTCCAATTTGATATAATATTTAGTACCTCTACAATTTTCGCGAATTTGCTTTCAAATTGGAGCACAGAATCATGTCTCTCGGTCCATCGTGTTTCGCATATACTATGAATTTGATATCCGTTTAGTTTTCCTTTTTAATACTGTATTTCTTTTAGCGGATGCTTTGAAGAACGCAATTACTTCCTTCGTTATACCTACAGAATTTCTTACTGCTTGGACACTGCTGCTTTTTGAAATCGAAAGATTCAAGGCATAATTTGCGCATTGGCTTTTTGGAGCATTTGGAAAATATTTTTGCAATTCCATTACAGCGCCCTTTTGTTCACCTAACATTAGGTTACACGTATCAGTAAAAATGCCCACACATAGTTTTGAGTAATAAGTTATTGGTTTTAATGAAATGCTTGACTGTTTGAGCAAGAATTTGATCTGTGAGTTTGAGCTCCATTGTGACTTCATCAAAATTTGAGTAGCAGTCCACAAATCCCATGAAGTCCTCGTAAATACGTTTTTGATAACAATGCCGCAATACGATTGACATTTGTGATTTATTTCTAATGTCTGTAGTTTCGTCAAATATAATACTGTAATACCGACTTTTCCTAACGCCACTTAAAACTATATCCAAGATTTCTTCTCCACAACAGTCTATAATTTCATTTTGAATGATGCTGCTTATATAGGTACGTAGCATGAGTTTTTGAGTTCTCTAAGTTTTTTTTTCAATACATTGTCGCCGCTCTCGACTCTAAATCGTATTAGTTATCTAAAATTTCCTTCATTATTAAGGACATCCTCGTCATTCATGCTGTCATTAGAAAAAGTCACCTCGTATCTCTATGCCCTCTAAGTGGTATATTTTGGCATCCTAAAAAATTATAGATTCTATTATAGGAGTCAACCTTTGCCGATTTTCTGATACTTGCTTAATTCGCTCTGAACCTATTATAATTCTTATATCATTCTCTGGATTTTCCTTAATCTTTAAAAAGTTTGTAGCATCTGAAACTGCTTCTGTATGACATATTGAGTTCTCATGTGTCTCACAATCACCGGTTTTGCCATACAATTTCGAAAATTTCTTTAGTGGTACGGTAACAAGTCTTCTGAATTTAGTTGATTTATGTACTCTTCCTAATTTTGCAAAAATCACGCAATATTTACAGAAAAGCCCTTGTAGTTCCTCTGAATATAACGGCCAAGGAAATTTGTCAAAGTGTTTGTTTGATAAGTAACATTTCACTTCTTTATTATTTTTCAAGTGTGTGGAATAGGGATATCTTATTTATTTCATGCTAAGACAAGTTGCTGCTGAAATTTACATATGGCGCAACATCAACAAAATTGGATCCTTTATGTTTCGCACCCGATTGTTCAGCACTTGGTTCAGCATACGGTGCAACATCAAGAAATTTTGAAGTGGAAGGCTCAGGTTGAATTGTAGGATTATCATCAGTTTTTTCCGGTAATTCTTGTTCCGATGGATCAGACAGTTTGTTTTGTTTAGAAAGGAACCAGTCGATGGTATGCTGTTTCTGTTTACTCATCCTGACAACAGCAGCCATCAATCAGCACTAAAAGTTACACAAATATTGTCAAATAAACGGCATTATTGGTTTACACGCAATCACGTATCTCGTGAACAAAGAACCTTTTCTGTTTGGATTTCTTAAGTCCACGCAATTTTCAAAAAACTAAATATAGAATTTGCCGTCTGGGACGAACGAAATTCACTGAAGTGCTTATATACAGGGACTTGCGAGACAAAATAGACATAGATGGTAATGATAGCTGGAGTATGGACCAAACACTTCGTAATTGACTTTATATTAAATTTCGATTTTTCCGTCTGTGATTTTTTTAGACACGATTCTTTTATAGTATAAAAATTAAAAATAAACAAAAATTAATTTTCTGTCTATGCGTGGAAAATAAAAAATCAATAGAACATAGAAAAAAGCGTTGATACCAACCGGATCAACAAAACTCCGCTTGTTCACTTCTCAGTCAAATTTTTTTGCGGACTCCGGACTGGTACAGAATTTAGATACTAGACTAGACCATAGAAGACTAGGCTATACCAGTTCCAACAGCAAGAAGCGCACACCGTTGCTGTTGCTGGGAGAGTAGTCGCTAGTCGCAAGCGCACTGAGCGGGTTGGCAGTGTTGCCGCTATCCTTTCTTGAAGTTACAGATTTTTTTATAAGACGTTTACTTTACCTTAGACAGCCGGTTTGATTTGGACTGATCCATATAGGGGGAGTGAGGTTTTTTGTTAACATTAAAGGCCGGTTTTTGGTGTATTCACGTCCAAATGCATGAATTGATCCGGACGAAAAAGGGTAAAGAGATAGATTTATAATATCTTATAGTATATAGGCTATGTTTTATCCCGGGCACGAAGACTAGAGATAAGAGGTAAAACTGCGTAACGTATTCGTATGAAGCTAATCCCGTCGCCAAGCACGGCATAGCTCTCGAAAATCTGGTGTACATAGAAGAAGGTGTAGTGCATCTGCTTCGTGGTTTACAGTTATGATTTCAGCAGCAGACAGATATACCTAAATGGAAATTAATTTCCTGCGCGGTGTACTTACAATGTAACCCCGCCTTTGGCGTCAACACTTTTGGCTTCACCCACACACTATGATCTTAACCTTTTACCTCTAGTCTCCGTGATAAATAATTTTGAAATAGCTATTGCAATCTTCACAGCTTAATGGAATTTGACATGAGATGCCTAACACAGAAGCGCTCAGTCGCGGGTCCGAGCAAAATGAGTAAGAAATAATATGAATAGGGCATTTGCATTGTAAGTTAACTGCATTTCGACATTCATTTTCTGATCTTCGTTCATAGAATCTCACTAAAATGTTATCGTAAAATTCCTACTTATAACGCCAACCTAAGAACTTTTAGATATACCATTAACGTAGATAAAAATCCATCAGAAAATTTGGTTTGTCTCCAATATTTAGCTTGGTTCAATGTTGTTTTTAAGTATATCGCTAAAAAAAGTTAGATAAGTAGAAGAAGTGAAGCGAAAAATATCAAAATTAACTCACAATTGTCTAGGTAAAAGCCCAATGTTCAGGGACATGCCGTATCGCAACGCCGATCGCTATAATACATCTATATAACACTTATCGATACAAAATTGTTCTTATTCAGTTTAGATTGCTTTTTGCAATCCACCGAAGTCCTCACTATTGTTGGAAACTGTCTGGAGTACTAGGATTGTATGGAACCCACGCACTTTTATATGTTTTCGCAGAAAAGTATGAATTTAATGTGGAATGTCATCAGCAGTGAAATTGCGGCTTAAGCCTGCTCAACTTGTAGTATGAATTTGCATCCTAACTACTGGCTACGTGATTCTGGTTACAAACTGATTGTAAACTTGCTCCTTCTACCTAATTTCAATTCGTTGATACCATGAAACAATCAGATGAAGAGTATTAAGAAATTGTCTGTTGAGAAGAAAATGTTGTTCGATCTTAATCACTGAAAAGGGTAACATTTTTGAGATTCCTCAGACTCTAAATCGCTTATAATGCGGAACCGGTCAAGTTTAATGAAATGGTACTAAGAGCATTTTTTGTTCAGCATTATCTAAAAACATAAAACGGCTTTGTCCGGAGCAAATAATTATTTCGCAATTTAACTAAAAATGGTTTCGAGCAAAATTGCACTGGATTGCCGCCTGGTATCCTCGATTCATGTTAAGGTGATTCCAACAAACGTGAGATTTTAGCCCCGTCTAATCGGATTGCTTTTCCCTTTTCTTTGATCAAGGTACTATTCTGTATAATGTCTATACTAGTATTTACAGCATGAAAAAAGTATCATTTTTCTAAAAATCATTACATGAGCAACCAAAGGCTTAGGAAACACTTGAACGCGAAATGCGAAAAAAGAAATTGGTAATAGTGTTGACCCATACTATGAATTAAAGGGAAGTCGTACTTTGGAAAAAAATCGTACCCACTTGAAAATTGCGGCAGGTCAGTATGTTATTGAAATTAAAAGTGCTCATCGATCCTTGGAGCGCAAAATTGTTTATTGGAGGTTACATGTGAAAATTACCATTCTTTGTTTCTCTGGTATGGTAAGACTGACCACAGAAATTACATTCACCAAAATTTTAGACTGTATAAAAACTTGCCAATTGATCTAGGAATCCCAATTTTTAATTTCTCCAAACGGTTGAAAATCCTAATAAGATAAAGCCTGTCCCCATATCGCTAGAGCTACAATGAACTACCTCAATAATACTTCAGCTAGCCTCTTTCTTTGGCCTCCTGGATCTACAGACCTTTCGCCCATCGAACATGATGTGCGGGAAACTATTAGGAGGAAGACTGACCTCGTCCTCCAGGAACGCTAGCAGCTCTTCGGAGCCAAGTACAGTGAGCTGGGATTAGATACGTCAAAAAGACAAAAATCATCTCCTCAGAAGCACGCCCAGATGACTAGAGGAATGTATATGGCATCCGGGCGGCCCACAGTGGTCCATTTATCCAAGGATCTGGCAAGCATTGAAAAAAAGTAGTAACGAAGATGAATTACTTTCATTACATATCTCAAAGTTGATATTTGAAATAATAAGTTTGCCATGGAAAGAAAACTTTGCTTGCCGCACGGGTATCAGGTATCTTGAAAAGTGACATTATGCCGACTTTTTTTGACATTATGCTGTTCTTTTTGACATTGTGTAGGTTATTCTACAAGATGTTAACTTACTTACTTAGTTGTACGTGTTGCCTAAACATCATGAGGCTTGTGATCAATCTTTGGCTCTGATGTGATGTGAAATCTGCTTCTAAGATGGCATTACTGGAGGTATAAGCTGTAAGATGTATGTGTTGATGATAATTACATTGGGTTCTTGTCTCAAAA